GGGTTGAACAGCGCCTCCGACAGACCTTTCTAGAGAAGGATGGTTACTGGCCAGATGAGTGGGCGGGTTTTCAGTGGGACCAGAAAGCGAGAAGGAAGGACCCTTAGTGACCAAGAGTAATACTCTTCAAAAACACTTCAGAACAAAAGGGAAGCCAGTCAGCAAAACAGGATGCCTACTCAGCACTGGGGGAGGGAAGCCTTGGCTGTTTGCCACGTTTATTATTAATTTTTGGCACGTTTGTTTGTTTTTGAGACAGGATATCACCTTGTAGCTCAGGCTGGCCCCCAACTCTCCACAATCCTCTTGCCTCAGCCTCCAAAGGGCTTGTATTGCAAGTGTGAGCCACCCTAGCCTATGCGCATACTGCTGTAAACTCGTATTTAGTTTTTGCGGAGGAACAGCCTTTGACATCAGAACATATATGTTACTACAGGAATTAGACCTCTCCACATTGCCTTCTTTTTCTGATGCCCAGGGACTGAATTTAGGGCCCCTCCACAGCCAACTGTGCATCCCACCAGTGAGCTACACTGCCAGTCTCCCAGAAAGTAGAGAGACCAGAAGTTTGAAAGGTTTTGCCCCATCAGAACTGAGAACTTCCCCGTTTGAATGTGACTTGTGCTTATCTTGCACTCTACATGTGTCCCCGCGAGGCTTGCGGAGTGAAAATCCTCTTTCTTTTAGATGCTTGAAAATAAGGACATTGCTGCTCTCGGGGCGTTTAGCCAAAAGCAGAGAAGTGTATCTAATCGAAATGAGTGAAGAGTATTTTATGACGGCGCTATGAGAGTAGGCAAGACCACAGTGTGCATGACACTCTCTGTGTTCACGGTGCCGTTCACGGTGCCGTTGGCGTGAGCATGAGCCCGTGCCAGGGCGGCGGAAGACAGATGGGCTTTGGGGTTGCTCAATAGACACTGGTTAAGTTTGAGTGGTCAGAGTCATGGCGTGAGGTGTCAGTCTTCTCTGCTGTCGAAAGGGTCCCGTCGCAGGGGAAGAGACTGTTTGCTTGGAATTATGGGGTCCGGAATGATAGCCACGTTCGTTCTTCAGCTCCCCTGACTTCCAGAAGGAGCCACGAAGGAGAGGAGGAAGCTGTGGCCACGCTTTCAAACGGGAGTGGGGAAGAGAGTTACACTCTTACTCTCTCGTCATTGTGTAACTTTCCTGCTCAGAGGGGAACTGATGTTGCGTGTTGATGTAGCTAGTGCTTGAATTTTGTCCTTTTAATTACTGAAATTTTACAACTCAGTAGTTAAAATTCGACCAGAATGAGCTGGACGCGGTGGCACATACCTGCGATCCAGTACTCAGGAGACTGAGGCAAGGGGATCACAAGTTTGGGGCCGACCCGGGCTACATAATGAGGGCCGGGTCAGCCTTGTTTGTTTATTTCAAAGCAGCCGCGCCAGCTTAAGGACCGGCTGCTTCAAGAGAGCCAGGCTGTTTTGCTCTGTGATGGGTGCCCAGGTCTCGGCAGGGGGCCCGCCTTTGCTTCCTCCCCCAGCACCCCCACAGTGAAGTCTGGAGAACGGGAGGCGCAATGGCGAGGATGGCCGTGAAAAATTTGTTGGGCGTCTTCACCACTGAGTCCAAGGCTGCTATTGTTTGTTCTTTCTCACTGGTGAACAGAATAAACGAGGATAGTTTTGTGTCACTGAAATAAGAGTAATAGATAAGTTGTCTAGTGACGGTTGAAATGGACTTGCTAATATATAACCGTGCTCAGTGGTAAAGAACTTGCCTAGAATTTTTGAGGCCTAAGGCTTGAGCCTCAACACACACACACACACACACACACACACACACACACACACACACACACACACACACACACCGGGAGAGAGGGGAGCAGAGAGGTGGGGGACAGAACCTGATTCCAACCTGAATTATTGAATTATGCCTTTATTCAAGGGAAAAATAATTTCTGAAGTTGAAATTTGTTGGTGTTGTTCTTCTCTAGTGCAAAAACTACCCTGTGGTTTTATAATAGCTTTGTAATTAGTCAAGGTCTTCCAGAGAAACAAAAATAACTTGATACACAAATGGTGGGGGTGGGGCTAAAGAATTAGCACGCTGGGCTTTGGAGGCCTAAAGTCTTGGACACACCAGCAGCTGGAATTTCAGGAGAGAGGTTAGGTAACTGGAGTCCAAGGGCAGTCTGGAAGCGAGATCTCCTCTTCCTCCCCAGCCCTCAGCTGTCTTTTCTTCAGGCTTCAGCTGACTGAATGAACTGCCCACATTATGAGGGGTAGGTCATGTGCTTTATTGGAAGTCCATTGATTTAAATGATAAATACATCTTTTTTGTTTGTTTGTTTGTTTTTAAATTTTCTGGAGCTGAGGACCGAACCCAGGGCCTTGTGCTTGCTAGGCAAGCGCTCTACCACTGAGCTAAATCCCCAACCCCGATAAATCCGTCTTTAAAATACCTTCACAGCAATAGCTGTGACTGACATTTGAACAAAAATTGGATACCCTGGCCTAGTCAAGTCAGAATATAAACTTAATTAATTTAAAAACTTTGTTTTGTTACAGGGTTCATGCATCTCAGTGTAACCAGCAAGAACGTTCCAGCAACATGCCTATGGACTGAAGTTTGGAAGTCCAATTAGAGACGGAGAAATAATGAGCAAAAATCTTTACCAGGTTTTGTGCCCAATGAAGAGGGCAATTTATCTAACTTTGAATGTTGAATGGTTAATATTTTATCATGTAAGGCCTGAACATCAATACTCAAATTATCATGTGACTATCTCTGCTTGGGGAACAATATCATTAGCAGTGGGGACACCAAAGAAGGTCAACTGTGTTCTTCATAAAGCTCTGACTGATCGAATGAACTGCCCATGAGAAACAAAATCTTGATATAGCTCCTCAGGCCCTGTCTAATTTTAGAAAGTTCCTTTGTCTTTTTTCCCCCAGAATTTGGTAATTTACACCATACCTGTAAAGCCAAAGTACTGATGTAGTCATAAGCCTCCGGAGGACACATGAGCTGTCACTGAGCATCACTATGTGTGGTTTCTCCTGCTACCATTTCACATTATGTTGTTGATTTATAATAGCTTGGTCCTGATTGTTAGAATTCCTAGCCACTCCCCCATGACCCAGCAAGGGCTGGCAAGATGCTTAGCTATCCCAGGACCTTACGTCCTACGTAATCTGTGCGCTGTGTGATCACGTAATTTGCGTGCAGTGTGGTCACATAATCTATGCACATGTGTGGCGTCGCTACGTAAGCCCGTATGTGCATGTGTGGGGAAATCTATAAAAGTGGGTCCCACTCAATCCTCCGCTCTCTTCCTGCACGATCTTTCCATAGGCCTAAGCAACCCCTTCTGTTCCCTTCTCTTAATAAACTCTTATAGTGGGCTTTGTTGTACCTCGTGGCTTTTCTCCAATGGTAAAACAGCGTTGCTTAATGGATAACATTGCACCACTTAATAACACTGATAAATTTTTGAATGACCAATCTTCCATGGTAAATATTCACCCCCCAGTAAGACAAGTTATTTTTAAGTTTCTCCAGTCAGAGGGAAGAAGAGTTTCCCCAGAAATAGAATCAAGGAGAGAAAAATGTAAAAGGAACAGTTGGTTCATTGAGCATAAGGCCTGTTTTAGATCCTTAAGCGTCTTAAATGAAATGGGTATATAATTTTTAACTCGTTTCCCTGGGTTATAAGGATCAGGTGTTCTACTCACTAGGAAAAGAGAAAATCCTTCCATGTCTTCTCTCATCTCCAGGGCTCGATACAGAGTCTCTTGGTGGGGAGATCTGTACTGTGACCTTAAAGGAGTTAATTCTCTTATATATAGAGAGAAACCTCCTAGACAATCTCAGAAAGAAACGCAGCAAAGCAGTGAAACAATGTTTCCAGGCCATCAGGAACTGTGCTTGAGGGATAGATTTTAGAAGCTGAGGGAAGTTGGAGCTGGAGATGGGGGGTGGTGTGTGTGTGTATGTGTGTGTGTGTGCACGCGAAATCAGCACAAGGAGGAGGAGAACCCTCAGTCTCGTCACAGAGAGAGACGCTAGAAATATATATTGTAGCTAGAGTTTTCCTGACTGGCCCATGGTCAGGACAAATCTCTCTTACCTGCCAGTCCCAAGCCGCTCAAACCCGATCAAGTAAACACAGAGACTTATATTGGTTACAAACTGTATGGCCGTGGCAGGCTTCTTGCTAACTGTTCTTACAGCTTAAATTAATCCATTTCTATTAATCTATACCTTGCCACGTGGCTTGTGGCTTACCGGTACTTTACATCTTCCTTGTCCTGATGGCGGCTGGCAGTGTCTCCTTCACCCAGCTTCCTGTTCTCTCAATTCTCCTCTCTGTTAGTCCGGCCTACACTTCCTGCCTGGCCACTGACCAATCAGTGATTTATTCATTGACCAATCAGCAACACATTTGACATACAGACCATCCCACAGCAGTATATACCTTCAGGTTCTAACTTTTCTTCTATTCTTGTGTTGGTGCTGCTGCTTTAAAAAAAATCATTTTTATTAGTAATTTTAACCGTGTCATCTTTATCTATGACTGTTTTTGTTTCTTTCCAAAGCTGAAAAGCATCACTAGGATTGTTTTTGGTCCCCTCGCATCTAATTCTCCCGGAATTGCTCTTCCTAACCAGGACCGAATGCGGGGATCCAGAGAGCCCTCCTCAGGGAAAGACGGCCGAAGCTCACTAATGAACTCCAGGAGTTCAATCAGCTGATGGTGTCTCTGCTTTAGTTCTTTTTTTCCAGCAACGCTGGTGCTCCTCCAGCCCTGCCTGCCCCGTGTTTTTACCTCCAGTGAACACTCCTGCCTTATTATACTCATGTGCACACTATTCCCAGGAGTTCCTCGCCTTTAACTCCCTCCCCCCTTCTTTTTTCTTAAATCCCCATATTTCAGGTCCCTGTTCCTGGCACCACCTGTAAACGCCTGTGCTTACTTATCTGGCCAAGGCCACCGGGTACAGCCTCCAGGAATTAAATCAGGCGGGTCGGAGGGGCCACAGCACAACTGAGGCTGTGGCAATTTTATTGAGAGCAATCAGACTTTTTAATACCCTTATCAGAGACAGAATATAATGGTAATTGCCAGGATCAATACCGTGCCAGGACTCGGTGAAGTTTGCAAGCCATACCGGGTACACAAGGTTCATGTCTAAGACCAATTGTCCTGTCAAGTTCCCGTGCCTCCTTGACTAATCCTTATCAAATAAGGGCACTTGCTGCTTGAATAAAAAAAAGAATAAAAAGGAAAAGAACATGACCGGTCCCCAGTATGGTGGAGGAGAAAGTTTATTATAGATACATGGAAGAGCATAGCCAGGGCCAGGGATATCTAGGAGAGTCCGGAGTGGACATGACCAAACTGAGCTGGGCCATGTGGCTCTGGAGAGGGGGAGGGAAAATACAGGGGAAAGCGGGGGTGGGGTGGGGTGGGTGGTGGGTCGGGGTAGAGGTGGGGGTGGGGAGGTGCAACAGCCAGGAGACCCCTAAGGTACAAAGACAGCAGGTAACCAAAATGGTTGGATTATATAAAGAAGAGCAGCCCAGCCGCCTGGGCTGGAGAGTTCAGGGTAGGGGGTGGGTTATGCCAGCCAGGGGGACCCTGTAACAGGTGATGACTGAGGGAGGCTGGGAGATCCTGGCAGCCAGGTCTGCTTTGATATCTTAAATAGGCACCTCAGCCATTTGTTCCAGGGTTTGAAAGCTAACACTGCTAAGGCTGATGATGTGAGTTTGATCCTTGGGTCCCATAAAGTGGGAAAAGAGACTGACTCCCAAGATTGTTCTCTGAACTCCACACATGTGAAGCAACACACTTATGCCTATATACATATATGTGCACATACACGTACAAAATATATTTTAGTTAAATTTTTTATTATTTTTTGTGTATATGAATTTTTTTGTCTGCAGGTATGTCTGCACCAGGTGAGTGCCTAATGCCCTTGGAGGTCAAAAGGGGTGTCCCCCCCAGGACATGAGTTGCAGATAGTGGTGGGTGCTGGGAATTGAACCCAGGTCCTCGTCGAGAGCAACAAGTACTGTTAACAGCTGAGTCAACTCTCCAGCTCCACTAAGTAAAAACGTTTTAAAGATCTGCTTTGGCACTTTTGACACTCAGCATGCACACAGATCTAATCCTAGAGGTGGAGAGGGAAGAGATCATACTTCCCTCCAATCCCTCCTTCCCACAGCTGGGGGGTTGTGATCCAGAATCCGGCTTCTCCAGCTTGTGTTGGGGACACAAGTGTTCCACGTCAGTCCTTTCATTTTTACAGAAGGCGAAATGTTTGCATAAGGTTCATCAGGAGACTCCGTGTGGCGTTTTAAGGCATCTTACCATAAAAGTTACGTAAGAAAATAAAATTCACATGACCCAGGTGACATGCCAACCAGAGCAGTTCTCGACCAATATTATTCCAAATGACAATCGTGCTAAGCAATCCCACAAGGTCAGAGTTTAGCTGACATGCACCTTGAACTGGACCAAAGCAATTTCTGATTCCGACTCGTTTAAACATTTACTGCATATGTCATTCTACAGATGCAAAATGTAGACCTTTATAAACAGTCTTTGTCACTGCAATGGAAGAAATAAGTGACAATTCATAAAAAGAACACCAACAATACAAAAGAAATAATAAATACAATCATTATGCATAGAAGCTGCACGGGCGTTTTCTTCTTCAACCCTTCCCACGTGGGCACAGAGGCACAGGCAACGATATCATTTACATAGGGTGGCAGAGGGCGCCAACCTGTGAGTTCAGTTCCTGGAACTCACCAACAATTGCCTTCCCGTCCAATTAATCTTATGTTCTGATTCGACTAGGCCAGGATATCCAATTTTTGGTCCAATATGAGTGTCATTTGGAATGTTTTTCTAAATATAAGCTGATCATCCATGAGGACAACCCAGTTCAGTTGCTAGCTTAGCTCGGTGTAGTGTTTCCAAGTCCGCTTATCTCAGTTTACACAGATAAAAAGAAAGAGAGAAAAACAGATTAGGAAAGGAGGTGAGAGAGCGAGGCTTTGGCTCCGCGGCTGGGAGCTTGCCCAGCGTGCAGGAGAACTTGGGCTCAATTCCCAGCGTAGGGCGGGGGAGGTGGGGAGGCCGTGTTCAAAGTTAGAATGTTTGTTTCTCTCCAACGTCGCCGCCAAGGCCTTGAAAAGTACGCCGTCCTAAAAAAAAAAAACAAAAAAAACAGCTATTAAAGACTTATTCATGCTCTCACAAATCTTGTTGACTGCTCTGCCAACAGCGGTGTCGCCAAGTAATTAAGTCTCGCATGCTTTCTGTTTCTATTGCAACACTCCAGCGGTCCTCCACGCAGCAGGGACGCGCAGAGTCCCAGCCCTGGGACGCGTGCGTGTCTTACCGACGCCGCGGTGCAGCCCGGGACACAGCAAGGGGGGAGGGGGGGAGCCCCACCTTCAGGGGCTGCTCTTTGGGCGGAGCCCCGGATTGTGATCTGTGGCGTAGAGGACGGGCGCCGACTGTCTTCCGCTCCCCGCAGAGCAGGAGCGGCCGGGACAGCGATGATGAGCTGGGAGCTGCTGCTCTGGCTGCTGGCGCTTTGCGTGCTCATCTTGCCCCTGGTGCAGCTCCTGCGCTTCCTGCGGGCGGATGCCGACCTGACGTTGTTATGGGCCGAGTGGCAAGGGCGACGCCCGGGTGAGCATCCGCAGTGGCCCGGGCTCCAAATGAGAGCCGCTGCTGGGAGTGGCGGGCGGGCGGGAAAAGCGTCCGGATCTCCACTGAAAGCGAGTAGGGGCAGAGGTCCCTCCCGGTAGGACGGAGCCTCTGTGGCCAAGTTAAGCCTTGTCCCAGGGCTGGGACCCTGGGAGGAAGCGGCAGTGTCTAAATAGGCAGTTCTCAGTGTGTCGCTTGTCTTGGTTCAAGTATGGTACTGATGTGTCGCTCAGACTAGGAGAGAAAACGTCAAACTCCAAGAGAGCGCTGCAAGCCTCTGATGCCTGCAGAACACAGACTTCTTCAGTAGGATCCCAGGGATCCCGGGACACTATCAGGGAGGACATTGTGGAGAGCAGAGTGTGTGCCCCGCTTTTTAAGAGGCCCAGTGTCTGTTTATCCCGAGCATGTTTCTCCTGGGCTTTTAACTCTCCCGAAGCACTGAAAGACAATTGATTCTGACTCACTCACTTACCTAATTGCTACAAAAGTGTCAAAATAGAAAGCACCGAGCTGGCATTTTGCCAGGGGGCGAGATCATTCTGGGCACACTAAGTAAGGCACGTTTCGCCTGCTGTATTTTGGTCTGCTTCTTGCTCCGTGTTTGACACTCGCTTAATACACGTTTCAAGGATGTGGCGTGTTGTGTCACGTGGGCAGTGTGCTTAGTACCTCACAAACGGCCCCTGACCTTTGGAACAATTCTTATAACGTGCTCATTATTCGTTATTGTTTTTCAGTTAGAGTCACTGACAGAGAAACTAAAAGCCTGCCCGAGGTAGGCTTTTGATCCTTAAAGGACTATCCGTGGTGACAAGTACTAGGAGCATCTCAGGAAAGTGCTTTGAAGTCGCTGGCCACTCAGAAGACAGAGTGTATTCAAAGTCTGCAGAGCAGGAGTAGGTGCAAATTGGGTCTTGGAGACTAGAAGATAAAGAGAGGGTAGCATTTTATGTCCTTCCCCGAGCGCTGGCAGACATTCTTGCTGTTTTATTTCTGAGGCTGCATTTCTTTGACTCGAACAGGTGCAGGACTGCTTGCACATTCACTGCTGCAGAACTGAAGAAGACATATGGCTGTGACCTGTAGACTGTCTGTCATTTTTGAGGGCAGGAATCCCAAATACCCTACACTTCTATTAACTGTAATTCCCTCCTCCCTGATCATTGTTTAGACAGACGGGATGTGGGCCAGTTCACTGCCAGGAGCTGCCTGTGGTTGTTTGTGTTTGAGCCTCTGTGCTTTTATTTAATCCGAAGATTGAATTAAAATCAGTTTATAAATTATATAATTGTATGAAAATTATTAACACATTAAATTATGCCTGAAATGTAAAATTGCATATTGAGCAGCTGGCAAAAGTTGTCTTTTCAAAGCAAGCGAGAGCTAAAAGCCACTAAAAGTAATACTGTTTGTTGACTTGTTTCTGAGACTGCCCTGGCTCTGCCCCTCTTCTTCCTGTCTCTCTGCTTGGATTTTTCACCTGGCTCTTATCCTGCCTTATCATAGGTCAAAGCAGTTTTGTTATTAACCAATGGTAGCAACATATATTCACAGTGTACAGAAAGACCATCCCACAGCACTTCCCCTTTTCTGTCTAATCAAAAAGTAAGGTTTTCATTTTAACAAAGCAAAATTACATATAACAAAACTGTACTCAAGCAAGATTTAGAGTTACAATATCTACTCTATTTGTATTTGGCAAAATTAAAGAAAATATTTTATCAACTATCCTATATTTGTGAGTCTAAAGTTTCATATCTAATTTACCCTTTATCATAACAAAGGAAAACTATAATTATAACTATCTAGTCTTCAACTCCATCAAAGACCCCAGAAGGATATAATAATATCTGAATAAACAGGAAGTGCATTGTAGGCAACTTCCAAAATTCAAGAAATGACAGAGACATCTGGCTGCCTGGACAGTTATCCAAAGTTCCTCTGTAACACTGAGGCATCTATCTTTGGCCTACAGGCCTAGAGTCTCTGGCAGACTTTTCAGTGAAGCAGGAAATTTGAAAGACTGTTTCATCTATTGGCAAGGTTCATCAGTTGCTTTACTCTGTGTCCTGCAGAATGTCTGGCAGTTTCTTCTGTAAAACAGGAACCTGAAGGACCATCTTACCTTGTTTTGGCAAAGTTCAGTGGTCATTTTCCTATGGGTCCTGCATGCCCAGTTTATACAACATATTGTCAAGCAGTCCAGGCAAGAGCAGTTTCTTGCCCAAATGGCTAGCCTTTTCCACTTTGAAAGCAAACTCCATAACAAGTTTCTTTGATGCCCATCATTCTCTTTGAAGTAATTGGTGCTGTCTAGAAAAATCTAAGTTTTTAAAACATTTTAAATGCCATAATCTATAGGTCTTTGAAGTGTTTGAAGATTATCTATCTAATTGAAATATATCTCTGTATACCTAAAAAACTTACTAACATGACTATAAGTTTGATTATTATAGATAACTACTAATCTGTATTTCTTAATGATATATTACAATTTTAAATGAGTTGCATAAACATAATGCCTTAAAAAACAGTAGAGATATACATACAGTATAACAAAATTGACCCTGAATTTGTATTAATAAGCCAAAATCCATGCCAATGTAAAGTATTTTGAGATTAACAGTTGTTTTTTTGGATTAAAGTAGATTTAATAATCTACCTTTTTTCATCATTTCTATATCATATCCCCCTTTAAATAAAAACAAACATTCATAAACAATATTTTGGAAATTTGGGTGTAGCTTTCTATGCTACTTCCTGCTGATTGGTGGCACTGGCAATCTTATGGGGATCCTGAGCAAATTTAAATTATGGTCAAGTCTTGACTGTAGGTAGTAGTCTGTGAGGCTACATCATCTCAGCCAGTTGCCTTGAAGCTGTTCTGGATATTGGATCATCTGGAGACCTCTCAGGGGGTCTTCCTTGATGGAACCATATTAACCTGGAAGGAATCCACAACTTCTCATCTGCTGTGGAAGCAGAAGCAAAACCTCTTTTCCAAAGCAACATATCTTTAGACCCTAATTTTGAAGTCAAGATACCTTTAAGATAATATGTTGGTTTAACTTAGCAGCCCCTAAAATCAAATGTCTCTCTGCAGTTAAAGACCCCAAAGACAACACAATAATATATAGTATACAGACTCTCTGTGTATTTTTCGTCTTTACGTGGCTTTTTTTTTCTATTTCTTTTTTAAGGACTTTCTCTATCCTTTTCTTCTCTCTCCCAAGCCTATATATATTTTTAAACACACTGTAACAAGTTTAGAGGTTTTTTTTTTTTTTTCCTATCTGAATCTATTTTATTGTGTATCTTTAATCCTTTTCTGACCAGGAGAGTTTTTAAATTGCTAAGCTGCATGGCTAGGACCGAAGTGGCTGCTCAGCTTTTCAACATGGCACTGGTACCAATGAGCCTCGCTTACCTCTCCAATTTTGGGAAGCAATATTAAGTAGCATCCTATGTTTTTAAGCTCAAGGCTGTGCTCCCAAGCCCCCAGGCAGCGGCTGGGAGAAGCCTCTTGTATTGTGGCCTGTGAGAGACCTCTGGAGTCTGCCATGTTGCTGCTGAAGCCCGCCTGGCCAGGGGACGCGTCTCTATACCTCAGCCTGTAATGAGACCTGAACCAGGAAGCTGTCCTTGGCTCCGTTTTAGAACCTTTTTTTTTTTTTTTTTCAGCTCTCAGGTTTTATGTGGAAATTCTTGCCAAACATCTATAGACAGATGAATCTCTCCCACTCTGCCTGTTCCCGAATAACCAATCAGAGGCTTAATATTAATTACAAACTGTTTGGTCTATGGCTCAGGCTTATTGCTAGTTAGCTCTAACATCTTAAATTAACCCATTTCTATTAATCTATATTTTGCCATGTGGCTGGCATCTTGCTCCTTGAGCAGCTGGATGGCATCTGTCCTGACCCCGCCCCTCTTCTTCCTGTCTCTCTGCTTGAATTTCCAGCCTGGCTTACATAGGTCAAAGCAGTTTCTTTATTAATCAGTGGTAGCAACATATATTCACAGTGTACAGAGAGACCATCCTACAGCAGAAAGCTTTGTTTACATAGTTTGGTTATTTACAGGACAAGTTATATGGGTTCAAATGTCTAAGGAACTGTTGGGTTTTTAAAATACTGACTCCGTTTAGGGCTTTGACAGTAGTTGGATGATATAGTACATATGTCTATTGTGCTTTGACAGTAGTTGGATGATATAGTACGTATCTCTATTATGCTCGCAGCATGGGTTCAGTCCTCGGCACTCGAGAACTAAATTGACCATATCTGAATTTGCACACCATAGGGTAGCGGAAAGTGGGGGTTCTGTTTCTGCCAGGGTTCTTGGTATTTATTCAATTGATACGTATTTATGGAGTCCTTTATATGTTCTAGTCTCTGCAAAGTGCTAGGCCACTACTGTGAAGAAGGAGGACAGGGTCTCAGCCTCAATGGATTTAACAGACTAGTGGTGGTAACTTACTCCCGAAAACCGTAGTTTTCTGAAGAATTCACACTCCGTGAAGTTCTTGTGAGGGTTTTAATATGGAATTGTGTTACACTCGTGGGCAAGAATGAAGTAAGGCCAGCCTGGATAGTCTTATTACCCCCTGTTATGGGACAAACTAGAGTCCCGAAGAGACCAGGCAGGAGGCATATTACGTGGTGAGTGTAACAGGGCCCCAGACCTTAGGACAACTGACTCCATGATGGAAGTGTCATTCAGGCTGTAAAACTCAGCATGTAGACAGCACCGCCTGCCAAAAATTAAAACAAGGACCTAATGCGTCAAAGCCCATAGTTCTGGGAAAGTCTCTAAATGTACTAGCCTTGCCTCTTGGCTTCTGTAGTTCTG